GAAGAAGTTACCCCCTCAATCCCTAACCGCTGCCTTGGAGTCCTCTGAACTCCTCTCCCTCTGGCCTTCAACCCTCACCGACCCCTCTTCTGCTCTCACCCTCCTCCACAACACCCTCTCCTCCACACTTGACACTCTTGCCCCCATCACCTCCCGTACTGTCTCCTACTCTCGCTCCTCCCCCTGGTTCACCACCCACCTCCGCTCACTGAGGAGCCAGGTGCGGGCCGCTGAACGCACCTTGGTCAAATCTGGCCTAACGGTCCACCGACAAATCTGGCTGGACCTCCTCAAAATCTACCGCTCCACTCTAGCCTCGGCCAAATTGTCCTTCTACTCCAGGATAATCCTGGAGGCGAAGGACAACCCCAGGCTACTGTTCTCTACCACATCCCAACTCCTCCGTCGCCCCCGCCACCCCGCGCAGGTCATCTCCTCCAACCTTCACTGCGAGGAGATGCTGATTTCCTTGAATCCAAAATCAAGGGAATTCGCTCCACGGTCACTTCCCCTCCAAAATCCACCCACCTCCCACCCCTTCCCTCCCACACTCCGACTCCTACCCATCCTCCCCTACACACTTTCGTACCCGTTTCCCCACCCTCTGTCACCAAACTCATCCTATCCCTGAAACCCACCACCTGCTCCCTTGACCCCATCCCCACTCCACTCCTTATCTCCCAGCTCCACCTCCTTGCCCCACATATCACAGACATCATCAACCTGTCCCTCTCCTCTGGCTCTGTCCCATTCCCTTAAAAACTGCCACCATCACTCCCACCTTGAAAAAACCCTCCCTTGATGCGTCACAGCTATCAAGCTACCGGCCCATCTCCAACCTCCCCTTCCTGTCCAAGGTCCTGGAACGAGTTGTCGCCTCCCAGCTGCGCTCTTTCCTCTCCAACCATTCACTATTCGAACCCCTTCAGTCGGGTTTCCGTGCTGCCCATAGCACAGAAACTGCCCTGGTCAAGGTCACCAATGACATCCTGACCATCTGTGACCAGGGCTCCCTCTGCCTCCTCGTCCTCCTCGACCTATCGGCAGCATTCGATACGGTCGACCACGCTATCCTCCTCCACCGCTTGTCCTCCCACCTAAACCTTCAAGGCCCTGTCCTTGAGTGGTTTAGGTCGTACCTCTCCCACCGTCTTCACTTTGTCTCCACAAATGTTTTTTCCTCCACCCCTGCACTGTTTCGTGCAGTGTCCCTCAGGGCTCTGTCCTCGGTCCCCTCCTCTTCACCCTCTATATGCTCCCTCTTGGTGACATCATCCGCAGACATGGGGTTAACTTCCACATGTATGCGGATGACACCCAACTCTACCTTTCCTCCTCTACCCTCAACTCCACGACCACCGATGTCCTGACAGCCTGCCTGTCCGACATCGAGTCCTGGACGAGAGATAACTTTCTCCAGCTCAACGTGTGCAAAACTGAGGCCCTCCTGATTGGCTCACGTCAGCGCCTCCGCACCTCAGGCGCTGACAGCATCAGCATCCAAGGCTGCACTCTCCACCTCTCAAAGCCAGTCAGGAACCTCGGGTTCTGTTCGACCCTGAGCTGTCCTTTCTCCCTCATATCCGCGCCACAACTGGCACCGCCTTCCATCACCTCCGGAATGTCGCCAGACTACGGCACTACCTCACCCCTCACGCTGCTGAAACTCTGGTCCACGCCTTTATCACCTCAAGGCTGGACTATGGGAACTCTCTCCTCGCCGGCCTTCCCGGCACCTCCCTCCACAAGCTGCAGGTCATTCAGAACTCTGCAGCTCGTGTACTGTCCCGCACCAGGCTTCGGGACCACATCACTCCCACCCTCGCTCGCCTCCACTGGCTCCCCATCCCCCAGAGGATCGAATTCAAGATCCTCATCCTCACCTACAAGGCCATTCACGGTCTTGCTCCCTCCTACCTCTCCGACCTACTATCCCCCTACCTACCTGCCCGTACCCTCCGTTCCTCTGGCTCCGGTCTGCTCCACATCCCCCGCCCCAACCGCCCTACCATCGGTGGCCGGGCCTTCAGCCTCTCAGCCCCTAGGCTCTGGAACTCTATCCCCCAGTGCCTTCGCCGCCTCCTCCCTTTCCTCCTTCAAGGCCGGTCTCAAGACCTTTCTCTTTGACCGTGCCTTCAGCTCCCCTCTCGACTCTCTAGCCCCTCCTCGCTCCCTCCCTTCCCTCCCCTCACCCTGACCATTTCCCCCTTGCTCGGGTCCTGACCCAACTTTACAGCGCCTTGGGACGTCCTCCCGACTTGAAAGGCGCTCAATAAATGGAATCTTGTTTTTGTTGTGTTGTTGTTAAATACATTGATGCTATTTTCTTCAACCATATCGAATTCCATATTCTCACCAACCTTGTGAAGAAGTTCCTCCTAAACTCTCTATTAGATGTACAAACACAACAAACAAAATTACATTTGCATATTGCCTTTCATGTAGGGAAGATGTCCCAAGGCGCTGGACAGTCAGTGTTTCGGACCCAAGCTGGGGGTCAAGAGTGGGGAGGGTGGAGGGCAGGGGGGAGAAGCAGGGTGATTGAAAACACGGTCGAAGAGGAGGGTCTTGAGATGGGTCTTGCAGGAGGCAAGGAAGGGAGTGAGGCAAAGGGACTGCAGTATGGAGTTCCAGAGGGTAGGGGCAGTGTGGCAGAAGGCCTGGCCGCCAATGGCGGGGCGGGCGAAGCGGGGGATGTGAAGCAGGCCTGAGCCTGCTGAACGGAGGGAGCGGGCAGGATGGTACAGGATTAGGTCGCAGGGGTAGGGGGGAGCAAGGCCCTGGAGGACTTTGAAGGTGAGGACCAGGATCTTGAACTGTATCCTCAAGTGATGGGAAGCCAGTGGAGTCGGGCGAGGATGGGGGTGATAGGGTCATGAAGGCTGGTGCGGGAGAGGACACGGGCTGCAGGGTTCTAGATGATCTGTAGTCTATGGAGGAAGCAAGGAGTTTGCATAGTCAAGCCTCGATGTTATGAATGCGTGTATGAGGGGTTCGGCGGCCTGGGGTGTGAGACAGTGGCAGAGCCGGGCAATGTTGCGAAGGTGGGGAAAGGCAGAGCGGGTCATGGCATGGATGTGATAGAAAGTATAGTTGAGGATCAAAACAGACCCCAAGGATCCGGACCGGCTCAGTGAGGTGGAGTGTGATACCATGGATGGTGATGCTGTCAGCGCCTGCGGTGCGGAGGCGTTGGCGGGAGCCAATCAGGAGAGCCTCGGTCTTGTTGACGTTCAGCTGAAGAAAGTTAAGCTCTCATCCAGGACTTGATGTCTGACAGACATTCTGTCAGGACGGAGGGATCAGGACCACTCCTTTTCTACCGCTAGGAATCTTATATTTGTGCTGCTTCATTTTGGACTCACCAAGTGGAACCAACCTACCAATTTCCATCTTATTGAAGAATCCTTTCGTAATCTGAAACATTCCGATCAGGTCCCCCTCTCAATTGTTTCAACTCGAGAGAGAGAGAGAGAGAGAGAAAAGCTACGACCTCTTCCACCTTTCAGGACAGCTGTGTCCACTCATTCCTGGCAGGATCCTTGCAAACCTACAGTGTTTTACAGTTGAAATCGAGCAACGAGCATCTTGAAGCTGCTGCACAGCTACAGCCTGAGCTTACACCAACCGCCCCGCAGCGCGCACACACACACACATATATATATGTTTCAGTGAGAAAGCGCGCAAACTGCACATGAGCTGTGTGTGTGTGTGTGTGCGGGACGCATGCGCACATCAGTGGGCCGGCTGCGAAGATTCGCGCCTGCGCAGTGGTTAGCGCTGTGCAGATTGGCGCCTGCGCACTGTGCTTGAGGGCGGTTGGAGCCTTTGCCAGACCCACCCGCCGGTCGGCGGCTTTCGGAAGGCGCCTGCGCAGCGCGGTCAGCGGCTGTTCCTGTCGCGGGCGCCAGCGCGCGCGGTGTGCGTGCGTGTGTGTGTCACGTGGTTGTGGCTCGCCGAGCGCCCGCCCCCCCCCTCCCCCCACCGTCCCACTGCGCCTGCGCTCTTGTGAGGCCTGTTTTTTTTTCCCTCTGCCTGGAATGCGCCTGCGCGCTGCTCCTCCCCCGCAGCCCGCTCTCGCTCGGAGGCCGGGGATCTTGTTGCTGAGCAGGAAGACGGACATGTTGGTCGGCAGAAGAAACCAGCAACCGTCAGGCAGCCACCTCCGTGAGGGCGACTAAAGAAAGAAAGGGTCCGGCCCAGGCCAGGCCAAGGCCAAGCCAAGCCGCGGCTCGTGCCCTCCGAGAGAAGAAGAAGAAGAAGAAGGAGGTGGTGGTGGTGGTGGTGGAGAAGAGTCGCCGTCATTGATTTTATTTTCCGCAACACACACACACACACGAAAAAAAAGAGAAAGAAACTCCAGCGAGAAATTATTTTTTTTTTAAAAAAATAGCATCGCCCACCGCTGGGTATCCGGGACCTACAAACGCTTTGATATCAGGCGACGTGCGCGGAGGGCGCAGAGAGAGTGAGAGAGAGTGAGGAGAGTGAGACACGGAGTGCGCGCCCTGTTCTGGACAAGGCACCGTTTTAGCAGAAGTGTTTTTTTTTCCCCCCTCTTTTTTTCTCCCCTCTGAACTGCAGCTGTCAAAAGGCTCCCGATGTGTTTGGCTGTTTAGGCCTTTCACCTGCGGACGGGAGACTTGGCGCAAACTTGCTTCGAAACTTTTTTTTTGTGGAAGGGGGGGTGAAGGAAGATGAACTTGAGACTTGACTGCACAACGGTTTAACGTTTGGGGATATCCACGCACAGATGTACATTTAAAAGTCCCCCCTCCCCTCCCCTCCCCTCCCCCCCTCCTCTCCCCTCTTCTTTATCGCTCCTCAAGCGCCACTTTCCGGGCGGCCGCTTGGCCCTCCCTCTTCTGTCAAAAAAAGAAGCTTCCGAGACCTCGAGGAAGAACTTGGGAAAGTTTTCGCGTGTGTGGTGGTGTTTTTTCTTCTTCTTCTTCTTCTTCTTCTTTTACCCGAACAACAAAAAGCAAAAAGCAAACAGAAAAAGAAAAAAAAAAAAAAGATGTGGCGAGCGATTCCCCGAACCTTCACCAAAGTTTTTACTGTAAGGCGTTTTGCAAAGCAACTGTGCGGGTGAAACTATGCTGTGAAGCCGTTTGCTCCGAAATCCCTCTGGTCCTTACTCTGGAAGGAGGGGAGAGGGGGGGGAGAAGGGGAGCGAAGAAAAAGAAGCAACTGTCACTCTTGTACCCGAGTAATATTTCAACGCATTTTTTTGTATGCATAGTTTTCTTTATAATCGGGATTAGATTTACTAGAATAAAGTGGACCCACCATGTCGTCGGGAGACAATCTGGAGGCCCGGTTTGAAAAAATCGATTCCATGCTGAGAGACCCGAAGTGTGAAGTGAACAGCGAATGCCTCCTGGTAAGTGTACAGATATCACGTTGACTTTCATCACCTCGGTTCGCTGCCGGTGCTCCCAGCAATGTGCAACAGACCTTCGGGTCAAAACCTTTTCGAAAGTAAAAGTTGTTCATTGGGAGTATTTAAAGAAAAAAAAACAGAACGTTTTTGTGCCCAACTCGCTTGCAAAAAAAATGTTGCGGAATCCAAAAGGATCTGTATTGATACTCATCAAAGATCATGCTAAGATTATAAATTCCCGTGCATTAATGAGTTGAAGTATCCTAGTGTAAGGATGCATGTTATGGTATTGCTTGGCGAGCTGTACATTTTTAAGTTCTGTTGAACTGGTAAATTATAGTAATTTAGGACCAAAACGCGAAATACTGCAGATGCTGGAAATCCGAAAACAAAAACACAAGTCGCTGGGGACCACTCAGCAGGTCAGGCAGCACCTTATGGAGAAAGGAAAGTGAGTCAACATTTTGGGTCCGCGACGGTTCTGACGAAGGGTCGTGGACCCGAAACGTTGACTCACTTTACTTTCTCCATAGATGCTGCCTGACCTGCTGAGTGTTCCCAGCGACTTCTGTTTTTGTTTTCGTAATTTAAGACCACCTGGGGATGACTGGTCCAGTGTCTCATTGGTCATGGTGCATTATTTTTTCACTAGGATAAAACACTGGCACACTTGCTTTGCAGATGTAAATAATTTCTGCTATTTCTGACAAGTTGGAAACAGTGAAACATCAATAGCAAGGTTCCAAAACATCTTGTGATTTGCAGTAGGTAGGTGGGAGAGGGGGAAATGAGGGGTGGCAAAATAACATTCATCTTTTGTAATGTAAAAAGATTTACTGTGCTTTTTTTTTACATCTCAGAAGTAATTATATATTATTTTCAACGAATGTTTGTTGCAGCATTATCTAATAAGTTGTAAAATTCTCTACTTGCCAAGACAGTGGTTTTCAGCAACAAACTTAGATTTTAGCATTTGAATTGCAAGGGGTGGGGGGGGAGAAACAATTTGAGCTGTGTAAGGTGTTTGATGCTGATCATATTTACTTTCTGAAGGGTTCAGCACCTATAATTGGGAGCTTGGTGTTGATAAAAATGAATGACTAGTCTGGGGATTCCCCCATTATATTATTTTATTATCTATTGTCGGGAATAGGAAGAGTGGGGTTTGTTTGGAATATAAACACCAGCATGAACTAGTTGGGCTGAAAGATCAGTTTCTGTGCCATATCATGCCGTGTAACTTCCCGTCTAAAATTGTATTCATCTCTTTCGAACTGAGAAGGCAGTCACACAGTTTATATCCAGACTGTTACAGTTTGACTGTTTAACCATCGATGAGGTGTTAGAAACTGGTGCTTAGTAATTTCTGCCTTTTTTTTGCTGCTTTAGGAGATGCAGTGCAGTGAATAAATTGGGATTGAAATCTGTTTGGTACTTTTTTTGTGGCAGGCATGGTAGGCACACTGGCATCGACTTTCTAATGTTTAGTGCTGCTTTGATGCCTTGAAGTATGTTCTATGGTCATGTTGGCTGTTTGTGGTAGTTAATTAAATGCTTACTTACCTGAAGAGTCCACTTGATGGTACCACAGTGTACTTGATGCTAGAATTATTTTTTTTAAAAAAGTACACAATTAATTTTGTGGTGAATTGCAGAATTGATGTGTAAGATATGGGGTTCTTAATTAAATTGGAACCGGTTTTGCATGTTGTGCTCTTATGGGCTTCAATAATACAATGTCATTAGCATTTTGGGGTCTTGGTGTGGGAAATTGATAATTTAGCATGAGGCAAAATATAGAAATTCAAATGTAGTAAAACTGACTTAGTAAATGTGGTCAACTATAAAAAGGACAGATGTCTTACAGCATTGAGCCAGGTAGTGGCTGGAAACACAGATGTACCTCACAGAATTCCCATAGTCTGTTGCATCTGCATTAGGTAGAGGTAAAATCTGAATTTTTGATGCTTAACCTGCTTGCTTGGCTGCAAATACTCAAATAGTCCCTCATATCTGTGGCCAGATGCTGGATCAGACAGCACAGAGTGTTTCGGACCTCTCTTCTATAGTTAGCTTGTGTGGAGTCTGTGTTCTTGGGATAAGGTGTATTATGACAGATATTGGTTACGCCTCAAAAGGTTTGTTCTTATATGACCAGGCCTAGTACGAGGACTATTTGGTTCAGCATCGCCTGATGGGAGGGAGGACTAATTATGCCAGTAAGTGTTTTTAAGGTTTCTACGCATTTATTTAACCTCATTCTGAAGGGATGACACTGGATGTATCTTAAAGTCAACTGCACTGTACCTTAATGAGTCAGGACTGCTGCCTCTGGATGTTCTGTTTCCCACCCAAATAGGCTATTTTAATTGGTATTTCTGAAGGCAACACTGCCTCAGCAGCAATATAAGCACCAGAGGCAGGTACAATCATCAATACAGGTCACTGATACATTTTTGCACTTATTGGCCCATGTAGACCTCCCCAATCATTGGCGAAAGTAAGACAGTCTTAATTATAAATAAGTGATTTTCAACTGTAAGGCAACAGTGAGTGAGCTTTTGTTATGGATGAGAGCCAATGTCCTACAGTTGAACGTCAACAAGATCGAGGCCCTCCTGATTGGCTCCCGTCAGCGCCTCCACACCTCAGGCGCTGACAGCATCACCATCCAAGGATGCACAATCCACCTTACTAAGCCATCCCGGTACCTTGGCATCTTGTTTGACCCTCAACTATCCTTCCTACCCCAGATCCGTGTGAGACCTGCTCTGACTTCCCCCACCTCTGCAACATTGCTTGGCTCCGTCACCACAGGCTACCCTCATACACGCATTCATAGCATCCAGCCTCGACTACGCAAACTCCCTGCTTGTCGGTCTCCCTAACTCCTCCCTCCATAGGCTGCAGATCATCCAGAACTCTGCAGTCCATGTCTTCTCCCACACCAGGCTCTGTGACCCTATCATCCCCATCCTCTCCCAACTCCACTGGCTTCCCATCACACAGAGAATACAGTTCAAGATTCTGGTCCTCACCTTCAAAGTCCTCCATGGCCTTGCTACCCCTACCTCTCCAACCTTCTAACCCCTTACCAACTTGCCTGCTCCCTCCACTCAGTGGGTTCTGGCCTGCTTCATGTTCCCCGCTTTATCCACCCCACCATTGGTGAGTGGGTCTTCAACCACTCTGCTCCCACCCTCTGGAACCCCATCCCGCAGTCCCTCCACCTCGCCACCTCCCTTGCCTCCTTCAAGACCCGTCTCAAGACTCTCCTCTTCGACTGTGCTTTTGGTCACCCTACCCCCCACCCCCCCCGCCTGCCCGCCCTCCACGCTGCCCGATATCGACCCCCAGCTCGGGTCCGAAACACTGGTTGTCCAATGCCTTGGGACGTCCTCCTGATGTGAAAGGTTCTATACAAATGTAATTTTGTTGTTGCTTCCTCCAGTATTTTACTGTAAAAGCAATGATTAATGAGTCAGTGAATCACTCTAGATATAAAGAATGTGTTTGTCTTACAAGTCTTTATCCTTATTTATCCTCCTTATCCAAAGGTGCCTTGCTTCAGTATTGGGTAACACCTTGGCTCAGGTAGCAGCATACCTGAAGGTTTCAGGTTGAAGCCTCACATTGGGACCTTGAACTACGTCGAGGCTGACATTCCAGTGCTGTGCTGGGGGATCACTGCACTGTCACAACTGCTGTTGTCTGAATGAGATGTTAAACTGCGGTTCTGTCTGTTCAGGCAGCCATTAAAGATCCCATAACACTATTCAGAAGGAGTCGGGTGTTTCTTCCATTGTCTGGGCTATCAATCTCTCAAATTGAAAAAAATCCTTCATTGCAGACTCTCTGTGAGTCATTGCTTTGCGGAAATTGGCTGTTGTGTTCACCTATAGACTATGTATTCACTACACTTTACAAAGAAAACTTTGTGAAGTTCTTTGACTTTTTTAAAAAGAAATAAGGCGTGTTGTAAAATGCAAGGATTAGTAACATTATTATTACCAATTTTCTTGTTACTATCTTTTTATGGTCATTTCAGTTTGAGTAACTTCACACGTCTTCACTGCTGTGGATCTAAACTCCTCAATCTCCCTGGGCCCTCCCTCAGACTCACCAAACTAGTGCGCAACCTAGTGTCCGGTGTCCGGTTCAACCCCTAGCTGTCCTTCTTCCCCCACATCCGGTACCTTCTTCCACCTTCGCCACATTGCCCGCCTGAGACCGTACTTTACCCCAAATGTAGCCAAAACCCTCGTGCATGCGTTTGTCACCTATTTGGCTCCTCAGCTCCACCAATCACAAGATCCAGCTCATTCAAAACTCTGTCACCCGCATACTGACCCAAACTCCATACCTACATACCTTTGTGGAGTCCTGTAGCTCAGTGGTTAGGGCACTCGCTTTGCAAGCGAGAGACCTGAGTTCAATTCCAGGCAGGGCGAAACCTTGGGCAAGTTTCCTTATCCACACGCCTAATAATAATCCCCTCAAAACCAAAACAATAATAAATTGGTCATTTTCAATCTACGACTGTTTGTGGGACATTGCTGTGCACAATTGGCTGCCGCGTTTCCCCCCAAATACACAGTTAATTCACTTTACAGTATGTTCTGTGAAGCGCTCTGGGACGTCCTCCCGACGTGAAAAGCGCTATATCAAATGCACGGATTATTATTATTATTACATCTCACCACTGGCTCCCCATCACTGAACATATTGACTTCAAGATCCTCACACTCGTGTTCACTTCTCTTCCATTCACTCCCTGGCACCTCCCTACCTCTTCGACCTCCTCACTCCCCAATCCACCATCCGGCGCCTCCGCTCGACTGGCACCGGCCTCCTGCTCATCCCTCGCACCCTCCGCCCCACCATCGGAGGTCATGTTTTCGATCACTAGCCCTAAAACTCTGAAACACTCTCCCCCGATCCCTCTGCCTTGCCACCTCTCCCCCCTCTTTCAGGTCCTGCCTGAAGACTTTCCTCTTCGA